TATATATAGTGATATGTAAGGTGTGAACTGTACCTGCCCTCAATGCATGTATATAATCATTGGTTTGCTTGCTGTCTGGATACTAGATTTACTAGAGATGCAGTTCATACATTCCCTAAGCGCACGACCAACTGCATGACCGTCAATCGCTGATTCCCGTTTTAGAAATTTCTTTGTGGCGTCCTTTAAAGCGTGTTGAATAAAGATCACAAAGCGTGATGTTAAATCGATTTCGTTATATTGCGCGAGAAAATTCGTCAGTGGCATTAAGTTGCGGTACAAAGAGATTTTCTGTATACTCCAGTTTTTCATTAAGGTAGATCTGTATTAATTAATTATACTTCACAACTGTGCCAAACAAATCATGACGTGAAATTTTTTATAACGTCTTTCTTTTTCATAAAGACTTGTACCATGATTTGTTTGGCACAGTCTGGATTCAGACGTGTGTGAAAATGTATATATATTATAACAAAGAAATCAGTTTGTTCTGGTCGTTGGCGGAATGTGGTCTGGTTGTCCACACCAAAGCATCTCAATTTTTTGTAGCATTCACACCAGAAACAGTTACCTACCAAACCCTGCCTAGCAATGTTGCTGGGCAATGTGTAAAAACTGCAGGCCAATGTTCAATTAATTGGATCACACCCCGTGGGCATGATAATGAAACTGAGCTTTGTCCGGTAGGGGCCGGGCGAAACTCAGTCTCACTAGGCCAGCCGCTTGGGTACTTCCTGGCTTCCTTTGTCTATCCACTCTCGCCCCTAGAGAGATCACTCCAGCAAATAAACACGGGGAAGAGCAGTTTACCGGTCAAAACCGTCCCACTAGGAGGACGTAGGAGCGGGTACCTCGGTTCTTCCTCTCGAAGATGGAAACAGTCTTCGCACTTCACTGGAGAGCTACCGCCCACCCAAGCTGGGCAGCCCCCAGCCAATAAGGTGCTGTCCCGTCCACGTTCCGCTTGTCTCGAACGGAGGCCCGATAATTAACGCACTAGCAAACAATACACTGAGTCGAAACCCAGAGACCTTGCGTGACAGGTCTCTAGAAGTTCCCACACGGGTACTTCGGCCACGCTCTCGCGTTGGATCTACGCCCTGCTGTCTTGTGAGTCAGACATTTGGATCCAAGGCTCCGGTTAGGGTTCCCAAAGTAAACCTCCGTCGGTGTGGCCTACCGCGAAGTATGTCGTACTCCAAAGTCTTAGTTACCCATTTGGAAAACCCTCTTTCTCATCTGTCCACTTCCTCTTCTCACTCCCAAACCTTAGGAGATGCCTCCTGCTGGCACCACTCATGGGATGTCACTCAGCGTTCAACGAATGAAGTCAACCACTCAGAAGCTATCCGATTTTTGAAATCGAACTCCCCTTTATACTTAGACGCACTTAATGTGCACACACTAGCAGATCGGTCAGCAAGCTGCCTTAGCCAAACCCTGGAGAATTTTAACTGAGATGTGTGCTGTGTCTCCGAAACACGCATACAAGACCCTACTTCAATCATCTATTCTCCAGATCCAACATCACCCTCACGCTTCACTCTGCGTGTCAGGCGATTTGGAATCCGAAGCTGGCGGTGTTGCTGGTGTTGGGATTGCCCTTAGTGTCAAGGCCGAGCGTTCACTTCTCCACTGAATCCTGCTGTACGTCTGGATGGCTCAGTACGGGTCGGCAGCAACAGAACGAAGCGTCGACGCTTATTCGGCATATCCGTCTATGCACCGATCGACTGCAGTTCGCCAGAAATGAAAGATGAATTCTACAAGAAACTCTCAACTGCTCCAAAGTTCTCAGTCAACGGACATTGTGGCAGTCGCTGGAGACTTGGATGCTCCAGTGGGATCCCTGAACGAAATAGAAAGACTACTTGGTGGTTCACATGCAATCCCAGCTAACCGGACTGACAACGGAGAACGCCTATTCCAACTTTGTGCTGACCACGAACTGTTCCTATCAAGCACCAACTTCTCGCACAAGAAACGCTACCGCTTTACATGGAGACCGTCAACCTCTTAACAGCGCTAGACTCAAATCGACCACATCACCGTCAGTTATCCTTAACGAGGATCCATTGAAGACTGCCGCTCCTACTGGTCAACACCCGTGGACATGGAACATGTTCTGCTACGAGCGAGATTCTCCCTACGCGTAGTAAACAACCGCCGAAAAGCCACCGAAAACGGATGTCCTTAATACAGTGTCAGCAATGGTTGCAAGTCGACCTCCGAAGCAGAACTATCTGATCGCCTTCCAGCTCAACCGTCAGTCGAAGGACTCATTGACCACTGGACGGCAATCAAGGAGGCCATCCAACTGTCAATCGAAACAATGGCGGATTCTGGCGCACGATCGAATCCAAAACGATGAATCTCCCCGGCCTCGGTTGCCTTGCTGGACGTTCACAAAGCCATTCCTTTGGTTATGACAAAGCGCGCACATCCCTTAAACACCAGCTTATCAAGAGTGAGGAATGACCGCAAGAAGTGATGGGTAGGGAAGTCTAGACAGATAGAGTAGACTGCGGCTATCGGTAATAGTCCCAATCTTTTTCGTTTAATTAGGAGTACAAGCCTAAGAAATATAGGTTTAAGTGAGATACTTGAGGGCTCACTTATTGATATTCAGCAACACCGTCTCGAACGATAGGTAGAATAGTTCGGCTGGCCCCCGTCGACCTGACCTCATACCTGTGAAAGTGATGGAGGCATTAGTTTAATCAGCATTGTCTCCAAACTCCTCACTGGCATAATACTCCGTCGATCGTCTACCGCACGTGAAGAGTGCGTACGTGAGAACTAGGCTTGACCCAGGTTGTATAGACCATATCTTTACTCTTCTTCGAATTCTAGACCACAGACACTCCTTTCGTAGATTCGCTATTTCTATCTTCCTTGATTTGAAAGCGGTTTTCAACTCAGTTGACCGCTCTATACTCTGGTACTTCTTCCCTCTGAGGAGTTTGTCCGAGAAGTTTACTTCAATTTTGCGATCTCTTTATACGAACAGCTGAAGTTGAGTTCCAGCTTACGGCACTTTGTCCCCCGAGTTCGCTACGAAAATTGGTGTTCGTCAGGGTCGTCCTCTCTCTGTTTCTCTTTAACTTTGTCATAGATTTGATTCCGGAAACAGCTCCATCCTCGTGCGAGGATATCGGCATCGATTTGTTCCTATGTGATAGACTGTCTGATGTGGAGTATGCAGACGACGTCATACTGCTAATTAAAAATCCAGGTAAGTTGCAAGCTTCTCTGTATAGTTTGAGTGCTAGTGTCTTTATGTTCGGTATGCGTTTTGCACCTCCAAAGTGCAAGATGTTTTAGGACTGGGTTGGTTCAGCTTTTCATCTCACACTAACCGAGGGAAGTAGCAGAACATGTGAACCAATTGCCATCTGGGCAGCTGTCTTACCCGGTGGATGCATCATGGATGAAGTGTCGGCTCGATTGGCATTTGCCAACTTGTAACAACTTTCGCGCTGTCGCGATATCCAGCTGTCCGTGAAGGGTAACGTTATATGCTGCAGTGATTCAGCCGGTGCTGCTATACCGCACAGTAACTTGACCATTAGGAATAGACTATCGGTGTTCGAATGCCGCTGTCTATGCAGCGTTGTACGGCTCTGTTGGGGCAATCTGCGATTCTGAGGTTAGGCGTAAAGTTTTAGGTAATCACGATGAGACGGCACCTTGACGTGGTGTGATGGATTGTGCACCTCTGACCCAACGAGCTACACAAGTTGGCTTTTATCAAGCCAGGATATTTTATCATTCCTGGAAGGTCAATGGGTAGACGTCAGACGAAGTTCAGTCTTCTGGTCCTCCAGGTTGGGGGTTCGATTGAAATTCGCTTTCCAGTCGGTAAAAAATGGCCGAGGTGTAATCGATCCAAGTAAATGGGCCTTCACTTCGCTTCATCCGCTGCCTTGCGGTTATGTTCTTGTCAGAACTAAAGGCTTTGGAAGAGAACCGTAATCGGTCTCCTAATTAGTTGCTGGACACCCCAGTAGTACCCGTCCATCAAACCCCAATGCATACACAAACTAAAATTAGTTCCATTATGCATCGGTCGTCACGCAGGATAATCAGGATCGCACAGCCCATTGCATCGAGCAGGGTGGGTAGTGATAAGTTGACTACTGCTCAGACATCCCAACCTTTGTTTCATTTTTTGTCTTCCGTACCCGGCCCTCTCCATTTGTCCCTTCTATCGACCTGTACTGGTCCCTCAAGCAACTTGGATGTCACTCGCTAAAAGTCGTTGCCATGTAGCACTGTAAGTAACTTACCACGAAGTGGATCGCAGATTCTAAAGCCTCATCAATCACTGAATTTGGGGGGCTTCAACATAAGGACTCTAATGCAAGTAGGTCAAAAAGCTTGTCTGGTGCGCACAATGGAATCCTTAGGGATCGATATTTGCTGCTTGTCAGAGGCTCGAATTCAGGATCCTTATACTATAAGCCAATTGTGCGCGCCAGATGTCATCGAGGTACGTTCTTCGCACATCAGGCGATGACGAAGTCCGTTCAGTAGGTCATCGCGGGGTAGGTATTGTACTCAGTAATAGAACTGAGTCCTCTCTTATTGATTGGATCCTCATCAGTTGTCGTTTATGTGCAGTGCGTCTTCAGGGTTCAGTCAGCGTCCAGAAGGGAAGCAGCACCAAAAATTTTATTCATCATATTGTCATATGCACCGACTAACTGCAGTTCTGATACACAAAGAGACGCTTTCTGCGATTAACCCACCGATCTGATTCATTGAGTCGAAGATCCGACATAGTTGTACTCGCAGGTGACTAACGCGCAGGTTGGAAAACTGAGCGCATCAGAAGCTGGCATAGGTGGTAGTTGTGCTCTTCTCTGCCAACGAACAGCTAACAGCGATCGACTTCTCCAGTTCTGCGCAGACCATCTTCTGTTCCTATCAAGCACCAACTTCCAACACAGCTCTCGACGGACGGCAACGTGGCACTCCAGTTCAACTGGTACGCTAACCCAAATGGACCACATAGCAGTAAGCTACCGTGGGTGTGGTTCAGTTCAAAATTGCAGGCCCTATTGGACCTCCTTCGTTGAGTCTGACCACGCATTAGTTTTGCTTCAGTTCACTCTCCGACCGACTGAACGGTGGCAAAACTAGAAAACTGGGATAGCTCATCATCGACAGTCTGTTCCAGCAGTTCATACACGCTATAAGTCGGAGCTAGTGTACGAGCTAAGCGCGCTTCAACGTGATGATGTACATAAGCAATGGAATCGGATTAAGTGAAAGATGCATTCCGCAGCAAATGTTGCTTGTGGGTCCGAGCATCATGCCCGTCGGAAGCATTGGATATCTAATGAGTCAGTAACCCTGATGGGTAAAAAGCGACAAATCCCGACTTGCCAGGATCAAAACAGCGTTAGGTGGCATCTACGACGTCAGCTCACGCACACTCTCAATAAGGACCGTGAAAATTGGTGGAAAACAATAGCTAGCGAAATGGAAGTAGCAGCTGCATAAGAGAATAATCAAAGACTGTTCCGACTGAGACGCATTACGGAAGTCGGCAAACTCCAGTTAGTGAAACAGTCTGCGATAAGAGTGGACAAGCTATTTACAATAGGGATTAAAGACTTGATCGCTGGGCGGAATAATTCAGCGAACCGTTCAACCGGCCTGGCGCTAGCCAGGTTACCTCATCTGTGACTGAAGCTCCGTGGGCAGCGTCTTGTGATTCTCCAGCAGAATCTCGCATCTAAGCTCTGAAGTGAGGAAAGGCAATAGAACCGAATGAACTCCCTCCCACTCTTTCCAAGATGGGGGGGGGGATGATAACCTCTTCCTTCATCTTGGTTCGAAGCACTAATTGTTCCCATTTTCAAGAAAGGATCCCGCAACGATTACGAAACCACCGCGAGATAAGTTTGATCCCGATCGTCACCAAAATGCTAGCTTCCGTCACACTTCGACATCTGACTACTTTAAGAGAGACTAACATCCGTGAACAGTAAGCCGGACTCCGACCTGGCTGTGGATGTATCGATCAAATTTTTACATTGCATCTGGTCCGTGAGCTGCGTCACACTCACCGTCGACGAATAATTGCAGTGTTTTTTATCTTAAAGGAGCCTTTGACTCGGTTGATCACCGAGCTCTGATGGATTCCCTTCGAAAAGGAATGCTCCAGAAGTACGTTTACTTACTGAGGTCACTGTACTCAGATCTCTGGTCGAGTGAAGGTTTACAACGAACCGTTCGTCAAAAGTGCCCCATTTCGCCGTTCCTGTTCAATCTCGTCGTGGACGAAATACTGGAGAATGCACTAAGTGGTCTCCAAAATGTTGGTATTGAATGGGCTACTGAAGGAAAGCTGTGTTTTGGAATGCGCCGATGACATCGTTCGTCTGTTCGAATGTTTGGAGGACGTGCAAAGCGCACTTGATAGACTAACAAGTGCTGCTGCCACCTTCGGTATGTGCTTTGCACCTTTAAAATGCATAGTGATGCTGCAGGACTGGGTTTCGCCTCTTCCCTCTCTGAAACTAAATGACCAGGAATTAGTTGCGTGTCCAAAGACGGTAGTGCAGCAAAGGAGATAACCGCTCGCGTTTCCAAGGATCGAGAAGCTTTTATCAGGACTGAAACACCTTTAGCGTAAACGCGACGTTTCACTGAAGTTGAAAGGTTGTATATATTGTGCTAGCCTTCGTTCAGTAATGCTTTATGGTTGTGAGACCTTGAGTTTGAGCGTATAAGATGTCCCCCTACTAGAAGTTTTCGATTATCGGTTTTTATGTAGTTTAGCGCACGGGTTAGTAATCTGGAGGTAAGCCGTCGTGTGTTTGGGATTATATCAGGGAAAAACCTACTAACACATCGAATTCAGAGTAGTAGACTTCACTGGCCAGGACACGTATTGCGTATGTACAGCTGCCACGCCGCGCTTTATTCGTTGTAGCCTCTCCGGGCTACAGGAAAACACGTAGAGGTTAAAAGATGACATGGAGACGAGGCATGAAGAAATGCTCAGAGCGACTAGGTAGTGTAGGTGTCACGCCCCTTCCAGGTTGGGTTCCGGAAGACTACAACTGCTTGATTGGAGGCGTTGATGGGTATGGCAGCGAACCGACAGCAGTGACGTTGTTGTTGTCATTTCTTATCAGATAAGAATGCTTGAAACGGTGTGCATGTAGAGTTCGATTGTTCACTCTGTGTTAACCATAGAGGCTCACCTTCTTCCTCCCTCCTTAAATTAGGTCCAATCCCTGTCCACCTTAAATTTTACCACTAACCTTGTGTGAATTATGAGTTTGATAGCGATCAGTGAAGTTCACTTCACTGTATTACGCTGTATGATGACGGTGATGATTTAGGTAACCGCGTTCGCTCACTGGAGCAAGCGATCGACCTCTATAGACTACGTTGGTTGGGGCATGTGCTACGCATCTCACTGAACAGGTTGCCAGGGCACGTGGTGGAAGGAAATGAGTGAAAAAAGCTAAGGTTGATCAAACTAACACTAGATACCCTCGGGTTAAGCAGAGCTGAATGCTACCAGGCGCGGCCCCGGGTTGTGGATAGGGGGATACCTTCACCGAAGAAGGTTAGCTGTGAATAAGTTGTGACATACCACAAAAAAATTAACAGTCAAGAACAAACAGCGGCGGCACTACCAGAGTGTGGTGGATTTCAGGCTGGTCACCTGGCTCCTGTTTCAAAGCCGCATAAGCCCAATGATGGGGTTGTGACTGGCCTTTTAAAACTAAAGTCATTGACCCCCTCACTTCCGAGGC